AAGCTTATTTGAGAATTAAAAGCCATTAACAAGTATGTCAGTACAAGTTTTTAGTTTAGCCATGATGCAATTGCCCTATATATTTCTATCGGTTTTCATATTGATTAATAAATATACAGTGCTGATCTGATCACAAGTATTAAAAAAAAAAAAGTGATCTTATTTCTTGATATGTAAGAGGCTTTCGCTTTTGTCTGACTAAGTAATTCAGATATCAGTTCTATAGATCTTCCCTTAACCCTGTATAATCTTAAGGAGTAATGTTTTCTTTCTTTAAGTATTTGGATTACTTTTTAGTCATCTAATTCTTTTTGGACTATTACCAATCTTACTTGATTAGATTTAATTTTGAGTATCCAATGTTGTTCCAATTTAATATGCTTATAATATGTGAAGAGATAGATTCTGAATCTTTTTTTATGAAAAGTCATATAATATTCATGAATATTAACTATTTCTCCATATTCTTCTATTGCCTTCCTAATTGATTTTTTATTATATTTGTATTCTATATCTACCAATATATATATTTTAATCTGTTTTTTGCTGAAGGAAAGTTTTTTGACTTGAAAAATCTTTTGTTTAGAGTATATTTTTGAAAGGTTGGATGTATGCTCCTATCTTGATCTATTCTCTTAATAGAGAAGTTTTTCTCTTTTTTTTTATTAATTGATTTTAAACATTATGCTGCATCCTCTTCTTTATCAATATCAAAAGTAATCCAACAATTACTATTGATGAACTTGATCTTGTAGGGTTCGGTTTCTTAAAAATACTTAAGAATCTCTTGAGATATTTGATTTCTTCTTCTTTGTTGTCTCCTGATAATGTAGCTTAAAGCACTTTCAATTTGATTGTACCTGTTTGTTTGATGAAATAGGAATTGACTGTAAAACCTTATATTCTATTATATATATTATAAGAAATATTTCTATAATACAGGTTTCTTGAACTATTTCTTTGATTTTTTCTGCTTCTACTAGCTCCATTATGCTTAAGTCTTTATTTCAACTTCTTTAATTGGCTGGATTTTCTTTATTTCCATAGAAGTTGGTTGAATATCTATTGGAATATTATTTATTCTCTTGAATTTTTTTACATTGTGACTTGAGGTATAATTTCCTATCTTATTTGTTAACATGTTATACATCTTTTTTTCAAGCATAAGATTCTTGAGATCTTGTTTCTTGCCTTGTCCCTTTTCCTATAGAGTGATAATATATTTTCTTAACATCTGTTCTTTTGCCAAGATTTCAGGATCTATGTTTAATAGAGTGGCTAAAATATTATCTAATATTGAGGTTGTATGGATTGCTTTTACTGGAATATATAATTGATCTCCTGTTTTATGCTTTAGTTTATATTGGAGCATTTTTGTTTTCCATAGTTCTTGTTGAAGATTATAGCTAATAGAGACATTCTCTAATACTCTAAAAATTTCTTTCTTATGTCTTTTCAAAAATTTTGATAATGTTTTACTTTTTTTAAGTCATATTATTACATGAGGGGGATAAACTATTACATATATTAGATTGTTTTGATGTTTTGTTATTTTTCTTTATGATGATCTGTAAATAGGATACTATATTGGATTATATAATCAGATGATTTGTGCCAATATATTGTTTCTTTACATGTTTTCATCTTATGTATTGATTCTATTTATCTATACATATATTGCTTATTTATTGCTCATAATATGATTAGATTGACACGTATTATTTCTTTATAGTATATTGACATATCTTGAGTTGTTGTTTTATTATAGCTAGACTATATTTACTTTTATATGTTCATATTCATGTTATGTGAGTTGATAGATCAGTTGTTGTGATTGTTTACTACTAATTTTTACTGTTTGATCCAAGAGATCTGGATATTTTTCTAGGTTTTTTGAGTTCTGACTTTGAACTAATTTATCAATTTGGATTATTGCTTCTGAAACCTCTCTTAGTGTCTAGAAAGGTGTTAATCTGCACTGATCTGACTAAGAGCTTTATGAGTTGATGTTAGATTTCAAGAAACCTACTGTGAATTAGTTTGTTCTTGCTTTCTCTTCTTTTTTAAGCAAAACAAGGGTATAAGAATGTTACTGTTAACTAGTGTTACCCTTTTCTTGTTGTCAGGAGTCAAGTGTATATTATATGGAAGGAAGTTGTTACTGTTGTTATCTCTTATTGAGGTTGTTTCTTATAAGAAGGTTTTTTCTTTAGAAAATTATTATAAAAACATTTTTTCTAAAATTTTAAAAATCAATGGAAAAAGTATATAAGTATTGAATCAATTGTTTATTATTTGTCTATATTTTAATATTTTTTTTTATTGTATTGATAAAATTATCAAGTAGTATAACATATGCCATATTGGAAGGTGTTGTATTAATATTTACTATTGTCTTAGTAAGTATATTTTTTTTTCAGGATGAGCTTAATTCTTCTTGTAAATTAGATTCTCTTCTGATATATCTTGATTGAACTAGTGCTACTTTTAGAAGCAGTTGCTTTATCACCTTCCTCTTATTCTATTTTGATTGCCTATTTTTTTCTTAATTAGATTTATTCTGTTATTCAATTACTTGAGGTTGTTCAGAATCTAATAAATTGGATCTTAATCACTTTTACTTTTAGAATAGAAACTTTTAGATCCATTACATATTTTTTGTCTACTGTAATAATTAATAGATTTTCTGTTATTACCAATAACAAAGCATTTGGAGGTCTCTATTTTGCTAATAGTAGACTTATTTCCTTAAAGATTATATCTTTTTTTCTTTGATCTTGATTTTTGATTCATTCTTTAGTATTGTATATCAATTGGACCTTATATTGCTTCTAATGTCAGTTTGATTTATTTTTATATTATCAGTTTATTGTTCATATAACTGTGTAGATTTAATATCATATTTTTCAGTTTTTTTTTGAAATTCTATCTTTCTTAAGAATATTTTTGTTCTTGTTTAAAGTATTTTTTTGTATTCTATATGAGTTTATGTATAAGAATATAAATATGTCATTTTAAGGCATTATTGAGATCTTGTACTATTAGAAAGCAAATTACAGTATATTCTCTCTTTGAGCATATATGGATTTTCAAGAATGTAACATACTCTGTTCTTGATATATTTAACTGTCTTTGCAATTAATTCGATGATAATATTATATATTTTATATAGTTACAAGGATTATGAATTATACTGTTTAATAATTTTGATAATTTCATTATTATTAGATTTATTTTGAGAAAAAATAGCTTTAATAGTTTCTGTATTGATATGAATTATTTATTTTTTCTCAAAATCAACATATTGTTTATAAAAAATTATATATTTTTAATTTTATATTATAATTATAAATGATTACAAATATAAATATTTATTGTTTATTCATATTGCTTTGATTTCTTGATCTAAGTAATTTTAGTCAATATTTATTAAAGTAATCATCAGTAATATTTCCTTCTTCTCCTTTATTTTCTGAAACATTTTTTTATTTAATATTAATTAGAGCTTGACTATTTATTTATTTTTAGAGGTATAATAGTAAAATTGTCTTTTTCTTTCTATTGATTTTTTCAAGATATTTTAATACATCTTTTTTCTCTTTACAGTAGAATATTTGTTCAAGTATTGTTATTGACAAATTCCTTTATAAAGAGATAAGAATTTTTGATAAGTTTAATTTGTTTTAAAGATATATTATTTGTTTTATCGCAATTTCTCTTGAAAGTCTTGAGATAATTATATCCATTTTGAAATCTCCATTTTTTTTTATGTAATATGGATTGATACTGGATATTTTTCTATTTCTTGTTTTATATGTTTGCTGTTCAACTATATTATCCTCTCCAATTTTTTTCTTGATAACTTCCATTTCAATTTTATTTTCTAGTTCTTTTCTTCCATTTCAACTTTAGTGATAATCGAAATTTCAATTGATGTAATTACTTGAACTTCCATAGCCATTACCTTATCAGATGAATTGTTAATTACTTCCAACTATTGACTGATTTGTTGGCAATGGTTGTAAGATGTATTGTGTTTGTTTCACCTGTTCTAAATTTTTAAAAAAAATGAAAATCAGTAAAAGTTTAACTGCATTATGTATGATACTGTTCAAATGAATATATACTTTGTGTTCATTTGATTAATAAACTCAATTTAACCTGATTGCAAAAAAAATAACCATCCTAATAGAGTTTAAAAAAAAAAAAACCAAATTTTTGTAAAATTCAAATATTTTGAATTATGAGAATTGATTTTTTTAATATTATTTTAAAATATAATTATATTGATGATTTACTATATTCATGCAAGTCGAGAAAAAATCTTTTTTCTTATTTATGGATAAAGAATTTTTTGAAGGTTGATTTTCGTACAATGATACTGAATAGTTAAATATACTGTAAAAGCTGCGGATGACTTAAGAATACCAACGATCCTAATTATTAATATACTAACTAGTCTTCACGGAACATTGACATCTCTCATTGGACGGGAAAAAAAATAAATTAATAACGGGAAATATTGACATAAACGTAGAAAGTATAAGACCAGTAGAAGAGATAGGTGAACAACTTCCATTAACTTTTTGTTGCAGAAAGACATTCAGGGTGCCTCCTAGGAAGTTGTGCCTCCCCGTGTTACCAAGAATAATATCGTGTTACCACACACATGAATGTAAGTAAGAAAATTTAAAATATTGTACACGAATTGGATTTTGAAGAAAGTATCAGGTGAAAAGATAAATATAAGTTGCAAAAAAATGTCGGGGAGGATATATAAGTGTTTTTCGATAATTCTTTATTTATTTCGAAGTGAATACGCCGTTATCCGTTAATCGGATATTGCACGCATGTGGGAAGGCACAACTTGCCCAAGGCACCGGTAGATTCCCTATAGGACAAATTAAAAAATAAAAAAATGGATAAAATAGATAAATGGTTAAAAAATAATACAAATTTGTAATTAACAAATAACCACAAAATATTTTGATGTCTAACAACTACGTCTTTCTTTTAGCAAATGTCTTATTCAGCAGAGATAGAATCTTGTTCACGTTCAGCTGTACGTATTCAAGATCCAGTGATACAACATTGTCTTGTTGCTACACAACAGAAATTAAAATAGTTATTTATCGGAAAAATAAAATCTCAGCATCGACAAAGTATAATTATGTACGCGGAAAATTTACCTTCTCTAATAAATCGTCCAATTTGAGATCCATCTCCAGGATGGCGGCATCACGTCCCTTGTAATGAAGCGCAATGATGAACGTTCCCGGAATCGGTGATGTAATATTAAAGTAAATGTTTGGCCTCCTGTTAATTAGAAAAGTATTTAATGATAAGGATTCGCAAGTCCCATGGTTCACACTTTAAAAAAAAATTCTGTATCATACCGATTTTCGGGAACATTGCTTTCCACGATAACACCGTCCCTCTCCAATTGAGCATGAGTAAATTTATATGGCCCTAATATCTTTCTCTTTGTGGGTTTCTTGTCTTTATCTCCCACTTTGATCACACTTGAACCGGGTCCACCAACTGAATCTTTTGAAGTCTGTTGTCGTACATTTTGCAAATAGGCTTTGTAACTGTCCAACTGGCTTCTCAGATAATTATTGTGATCACATATAGTTTTATATACTGCTTCAAGGGATCGAATTTCTTCTTGAACTTTTTCTCGGAGGTTTCCGAGATGAGTTAATTCCTGAGTAACTTCTTCCTTCATAAGCCGGTATCCATCTTTACGGTCTACAACCCCGGCTTCTTCAAGTTCTCGAAGCATATCCTTTACTTTGATGCCCTTACGAACCAAAGTGGCATCTTTTGAGGTTGCCGCAAATTCCGCAATTCGGTAGAGATCGATTGTTCGTTTCTCGGCCATTTTTGGGATGGATCGGATAATCTGTACAAATATAGATTTCGTTTCCATATATAAGATATCATTTTGCGTCACACTGTTGTCGGACATAAGTGCCGTGGCGAGGTCTGGGCAAAAAGTTTCATTTGATAAGAGAACGAAAATTCGTGACGAACAGAAATACAATGACGGGATGCCAAAACACGCACCTTGTATAGGGGTCTCCCATCTGCTAAACAACGGAAGTTCGATGGTCTTGTTCTCCTTCCTCGGAACTTGCGAAGGAGCTGGACCCACTTCATCTAAAAGTATACGCAAATGGTTTTTTTCCGAAGGTGCCTATGATTAATAAATATAGTTAATATTTATGAACAACCTCTGGCGATTTTCTGATATTTACCAAGGCTTCTTGGTGTTGAACAAGCAGAGCATGCGTGTTGTATACTTCATTCAATGTGATGTGGAGAAGCAAATCCTTTTTCGAAAGTGCCATGTACTGATCCATCTGAATGTAATATGCTACTTAGTAGGAATGACATTTTTAATTTTGCATTCTTAAATGCACGCGCTTACCTCTAAACTCTCATAAAAATCTCCCACCTCACATAAATCCAACAAAAATCTATTAATTCTTTGTTTGTTATCCTCCACAAATGGGTCAAGCATTTTCATATATTCTTCTTTCTTATAAGACGGTTTGTTTGCAAGATTTTGTATCATTTTGGCGATCTAAATAAGAAGTAGATATTATTTAAATTGATACTTCCTCGTTAAGCGAAACGAACATCGCACAGTAAGAAGTGTTTTACTTACCAGTGTCAATGTCCGTCGTGGATGCTTACTCGGCGATCCTTCTACCAACATATATGCTTGGGGTGTAACAATAGCCGAATTTATAAACCGCAAGAAGAAGAATCCTCCGATCAATGAACAAACAGCATATTCACTACGATCCGGATACTTTCGCTAAATCGTAGAATAGAACGAGTTAATAAAGATGCAATTCGTATATAATTTTGGATGCGCGCGTACTCACTTTCGTCAATGATCGAATCTGTTTACAGATCCATCGTATACCATACGGCGTTTGTTCGATCGAGTCAATTATAGTTTGGAGAAAAGAATTTGCAATTTCCATTAACATTGTTATACGAGGTGCTATAATTGCCTGAACAGCCTCGTTTTTGGCAGCAACTTCTGGTGTTACGCGACGCGGAATGTCGTCTGTTAGTGTGTCTTCCTCTTCCTTGGTTTTTATCCATTGTTCATATACCTACGTTAGCGATGATCAAATTGTTACCGACGACTAGTTTATAATGTAAAGTGAAGGATACGATACAAAAAGAAATCTGCCTACTGTCGATGGATTGATTTCGAGATTTAAATCCTTGTGTTCCATCAAACTGTTGATTCGTTCCGATAGTACTAACTTTAAATAACTTTGACCAGGTCCACGACGCGTATATGTTGTCATCATTCTCGAGACTGGCGTGTTTGCTCGAAGCAATGAATTAAAGTCCATTGTGGTTTCGAATTGTGCGGAGAGCACCGACTTTGTTTTTTACATCGCATATATATATATATATATTGAAGGAATTTCCAGTATTCGTTAGCTAACCCTCCAGAATGTCTTCGTCACCTCCAACCCGAATATTTATTCTCACCTGGAACATTGTCAACAATAAATGCTCCTCTCTGCTCTCATATTGATTACCATACAGTGTGAACATGACTGTTTGTAATAAAGTATCGATTTCTGTCAAACTGATCAGGCGACATAAATTTGCGATATAGCGTGGCTCTGTTTGTAGGAGGAAGAATAAATTTCCATATTGCTGCAATTTACGATCATCAGGAAACGTTCCACCTTCGGCCTCCATATCCTCGAGATGACTTTCAACCTCTTGTTTCTGTCACAATTGATAACAAATAACGATCAGATATTGCCAGTTTGATTATAAATCCCATACTTTAACGATGTATACACAATATATTATTTAAGTACTTCATCCAACGCCATTCGATTTTGAATCAGCAATGCAATGCGAGAATCCAAATATCTAACATCTCGTTCCAGAACAAAATTCTTTTTCGATTGAGCCGAAATTCGACCTTTTAACTCTCGCAAGCGTTTTTGTGCTGATAGAAAAGCCAAGTTAAGAAGTATTAGTAATACGGTTTACTGACCAACAAAGAGTTCGTGCGGTTTATGTTGACTCCATATTTAGCGAGAAATTCCGGACGAAGTCGTCCGGAATTCTAATCGGTGCAACGATAACCACCTCCTTTCCAACTTGTAAATTACCTTTGGCCAAATCATCTTCCACTTCAACATCTTGTTCAGCGGCCATTGAGTAAAGCGCGGTCACTGAGTACCGTTTGCTAGTACGACTAGCAGTAGTACCCGTTGTCGTCCTCCGATCATTTGAAGTGAGTGTAAGTGGTGTGACGGGAATGCCGTAAGAAGCTAATATGCTCTCACGCGAATCCATTCAAAGTTGTGGTTTTATGTGTAGAGTAGTTGGCAATGACGATTCTTTTTTTAACAAATATGCTTTTTATTTTGACTAGTGTTTTTAGTGAGGTATAGTACATGGTATAAAAAAAAAATTTTTTAAATTATGTCAATATTTTGCTCTTATATGTACGCACAATACGTGCGTGCGCACACAACCGCATTTACCTCGTGTGCTACACAGTTTGATATGTCTGAATAAGGTGATAGAATAATGTAACCCGCACCCTGAACGAAAGGAACATTACATAATTAAATATTAAAAGAAAGCAAGTTTACTTTATATTTTTCTCGCAATCCTCTGAAAGATTATTATGTACATAAATTAAATGCGTGTTTCGTATTATTAACAATTTAATATTTTACTTGCGACAAGGTACAAAATTTCGTGTTGAGGCTTGCAGGTTTACTTACCAATCAAATCTCACCTTAATTTAACTTACCTATCTGCTAACATTAATTCATACTAATTTTAGCAATAATTTGTTTCCCATCAGCGTTTAAGGTGCAGTAAATCTCTCTTGAAACGTGCGCGATTCATTTTTCCGGAAACCCCAAACTACATATGTGCATACTAATAAATATAACGTGACCATTCATTCCCTTTTTTTAAGTATTGCGTTCGATTCTATTATTTGTTTGTACACAAATTTCAAAAGTTAATAGCTTTGAATTTAAAATTTAACATGTAATCAAACTAATATACTGTATCTTTTTTGTTTAAACCCTTAGATTATTGTTATTTTTTTTTTTTTTAATTCAACATCAGACTAATATGACTTGTATATATTGTATACAAGCGTTTAAGTTTTGTTATTTTAATTTCTTTTTTTTAAAAAATTTTATATTTTTAAGTAAAAAAAATATTTTTTATATATTCTAAGTAAAAAAAAATATATATTATATTTTTTATATATTTTAATTTTAAATAGTATAAAAATTCTAAACATACTTTGAGTTTAGTTATTTAAATTTTATTATTTTTATATATTTTAAAATTATATTTAATTTTTATAATTTTATATAAAAAATATTTTTTTATTTAAAAAAATCTTTTTTTATATATATATTAGTTGATTTTAAAATAATAAAAAAACTTGAGCTATACTTTAAATTTAATTTTATTGTTTTAATTTGTTTTTAATTTTTAATTATTAATTTTTTTTAAATTTAAATTTTTAAGTAAAAAAAAAAATATTTTTTATATATTTTAATTTTAAAAAATATAAATATCAATAATTATCAATTATTAATTAATTAATTATTAATTATTAATTATTAATTAATTTCTAATTATTTATTATTAATTACCAATTATTAATTACTAATTAATTACTAATTATCCATTATAATTATTAAATAATTGTTAATATTAATTCAGATCATTAGTAAATTATTAATTATTAATCAGATAATTAATTAATTATTAATTAAATTACTAATTATTGATTATAATCACCAATTATTGATTAAATTACTAATTAATTACTAATTATTGATCATAATCATCAATTAATTATTAATTATTGATTATTATTACCAATTATTGATTAAGATTACAAATTAATTATTAATTATTGATTAAGATCATTAATTAATCACTAATTATTGATTAAGATCATTAATTAATTACTATTTATCAATTAAGATCACCAATTAATCACTAATTATCAATCAATATTATTAATTAATAATCAATTAATCACTAATTAATCACCAATTAATTACCAATTATTATTAAAATTACTAATTAATTATCAATTGTCAATCAAGATCATTAATTAATCAAATATAAAAAAGTCAATTCTCTTTATTATTAACTGAAATTTTCAAGTTCTTGAAACCATTCAAACTGAAACAAAGAATACTATAGTCTATAAAATTAATAAAAAAAAATTAGATTGGATTTCTTAGTATCTGGCTAAGATCAAGACAAAAGAATCAGAATATTATTAACTTAATAAAATTAGAAATTAGAATAGTAATTCAAGCAATAATTAAGAAAAAGTTAACAGAAAAACATACTCAATATGTTATTAATAAAGTCTTGATTCCAAGAATAAAATATAAAATGTAATACAAACATCTAAATGAAAAAACATGTAATAAATTCACAACCATATTTAAAAAAGTATTTAAGAATAAGGCTTTAGTCTATGGAGCAATCTCAAACAATTCTATTTATAACAAAGAAATATATGGTCTTAAGAATATCTGAGAAATACAACTAGAAAATCATATATCTATATTTTTCTACAACTCCATAATAATAAGATCTCCAGTAAAAAAACTCTTTCCGTTGATTCTCTGACCATACACAAAAAAGATGTTCGCAAGAAGTTTTTATACTTTTTTGCTAATAAAGTTTTAATACTTTCATTAAAACAACTTGAAGTATGACTTCAAGAGTCGCCTCTACCCTTTCCCTTTTGTTTACAAACCTATTCACTCAAAAACTTGACTTCTAGTGACCAAGAAAAGTCAAGTAACATCTTTGATACCAATGACAAGAAAGTTTCTAAAGGAAGAAGAACTGACTGTGAAGTACCTGAAGACCTTTTTAACCTTTGAAGCGAGAGATATATAAAGGTTTTTGATGACAGAAGAACTTATTTTTCCCTTTCCAATCACTGTTGGGCCTCTTAGAGCTATCGCTTTTATGGTTTTCTGGAGAATTTTGCCTACCTC